TGACCCTGGGGGGGGGGGGGCTTACAACATGTTTAACAACTCTTCCCTAGATGGGCTTATGTTTTTACACATCATTTGTGTTTAGACAGCCAGAACTAGTGTCATCCAGTATCAGTGCCAGGCAGTACCAGTGCCAGCATCATCCAGTACCTGGGTCATACATTAGCATTGCTAGCCAGAATCAGAGGCATTCAGCATCAATACCAGTCATAAACATTGCCTTCCAGTACCAGTGCTGGTCAGTACCAGTGTCATCCAGTACCAGCACCATCCAGAACCAGTGCCAGCCATTGCCATCCATTACCAGTGCCTGTACAGACAGTACCATTGCCATCTGCCTGTAGAGCCAGTATTAGTGTTTGTACAATCAGTACTACTGCCATAAAGTACCAGTGACTGTACAGCCAATACCAGCTCCATCTAGTATTAGTGCTTATACAGCCAGTACCAGTGCCTAATTATCACTTTTTCCAGCCATTTTGTCAGTGTTTCTATTATCCTCGCATTCCAGGGCCCTCAAAAATGTGATCGATAGTCAGGAAATCAGATGCATAATTTACACCCATTATCTCTTATGCTCCTTTGATGTTTAAAAGTCTCAAATATGTGGTATCCCCATACTCAGGAGGAGTAGCAGAATGTGTTTTGGGGTGTAAATCTAAATATACCCAATGTGTAAGTAAGATCTTATTAAAATGACAACTTTGGGGAAAAATCATATTTCATTTACTTACATTTTCCCAAAATTTGTGGCAACAATTCAAACTTTAAAATGTTCACCACGCTTCTTACTATATACCTTGGGGTGGCATCATTGAAAAAGGGGACTTGTATGGTCCTGGCATTTTAGGACCCAAGAAATACAATTGGCAGTCAGAACATCAATTTTTATCTGCCTCAAAAAAATGTATAAAAATAATTTGGGTACAGTGTTGCATGACCATGTAAAGTATCAAAGCCCTTAAAAATAAAAAATGGCCCGGACAAGGACGTGGAATATGATGCTCCTAAAGTGGTTAAAGAGATGAAAGGATATCATTTATTATGAGATTTAGGGGGTGATTTACTAACCTAAACACACACACGCAGCAGGTGCGTGTGCATTTTTACACAGCAAAACGTATTTATCAACCAAACACGAGCAACGTGTCACATTTTCACGCCGTTAAGGCGCGTTTTTATGTATTTACTTACGTGCGCGTCATGTAGCATGCGCCATAGGCTACACGCCGCTCTAATAGCGGCATGCAAGTCTCTAAAAGCATATTTCCACTAATGCCATATATGGAAAAATCATGCACATGATGCATATATAATGCTGCTTCACACTTTAGACAAAAATGGTTAGCTCATGCATTTACATTCCTGCATTCATCAACGCAAGCAACACGACATAGAGCTAATTTACACAACACCACCTTGCAATTCATGCAGGGCTTTGCACAACACACCTGCTGGGTGTGTACACACTACAAAGGTGTCTAGATTCCACCAATAGATCATGCTGGGAGGGAACACACTACAGAGGTGTATACTTGTTCCCGGTGTGTTTATACGGTTAGTAAATCAACCCCATAGTCTTTTATGTAAAAGCATTCTACAGTGTCCTTGAAATGTATCTAGAGCCCAAACATTTTTTGTGGATTTTTTTAGCTAGAGTGTTGAGTGGTTAGATCCTCTGTAAGGTTTGATTGCTGACTTTGTCCCTGCTAGATATATGTACTCACTCTATGTATACTAGTGAGTATTGTGACCTGGTACCTGAAATGTCAAGTTGTCTCCAAAACAAGAATAGGGAGTGAATCTTTATATGAAGACACTTGTACCACTGACAACCATCTAAGAAGGCATTTCCTTTACTTTGGGAGATTTTTTTTCTCACACCTTTTTGTGTCTTCAGGAGAGAAAGCGGAAGGAATGGAGACATCCCCCCATTAAAACAGGGGTTTTAACCATCCACTACTCTATCTAAATTGAAAAAAGAGAAAGCTCTGGACCAATGGGCAATTTATTTTTCTTGCTTAAAAATACTGTAAGTGTGGCAGAAAAGTGAACAAGGTTTATAATTAAAGGCTCTAAAAGTTAGCACTATCAATATCATGTTTTACTAATTTACATACATCATTTTTTTTACCATTTTACCTGTGTATATTGTGAGATTTAGCTTCAAATGGTAGCACATTAAGGACGGAGTCCACTCTACATAGTGGCATGGCCACACAGTGCCATAAAATGTTATGACACATATTTTTTCGATTATGCAGCGCCAACACAATAGTAAATAAGTGATAAATTAAACCATATGAACAAACACCATTAATTATATAATGTGAATATGTGTAATTCAGTGAAACAAAAACAAATAAATGTGAAACTGTGTCCACTTTTGAAAAAATTAAAGCAATTCAATGAAATTCAATTCAATAAAATACAGAGTGAAAAAGTACGTGTGTTGTGTATTTCTTTTTTTCAAACACCGTGAATGGTAATAAGGTGTTCCAAGCAAGAGCAGGTTGTAAATTCAGGAAACAGTTCCGTGATGTTTGTTTGGGGATGCCGGCAAATGTGAATCCCCTCAGGGTATATACTCACCACAATGTAGTGGCTGTGGTAAGCAGCCTGTAGAGCTAAACCCCCGAGGACGTCGATAAGACGAAACTCCAGACCTGCTAAACCCCTGAGGACGTCGATAAGACGAAACGCGTAGGGGCGGGCCTAACTTCACGCTACACCAGATACAGGATTTTGTAGTTTTGCCGATCGGAACATCTTTCTTTGGAATTTTTTTGGTTTTTGCTTGTGGATTTCGTTGTCTTAGTCTTATTTTGATTCAAATAAAATCCCTTTGAAACTTCTACACTATGAGAAGTCTTTTTCTTGTATGATCCCGAAGATAAACCATTCACCAGTCACAGACCGTCGAGAGTTGCAGCGGAGACGCCACAACTTCAGGAGAATTCATCTCTCTAAAAGCTCTACAGGCTGCTTACCACAGCCACTACATTGTGGTGAGTATATACCCTGAGGGGATTCACACGGCATTTGCCGGCATCCCCAAACAAACATCACGGAACTGTTTCCTGAATTTACAACCTGCTCTTGCTTGGAACACCTTATTACCATTCACGGTGTTTGAAAAAAAGAAATACACAACACACGTACTTTTTCACTCTGTATTTTATTGAATTGAATTTCATTGAATTGCTTTAATTTTTTCAAAAGTGGACACAGTTTCACATTTATTTGTTTTTGTTTCACTGAATTACACATATTCACATTATATAATTAATGGTGTTTGTTGACATTATATGGTTTAATGTATCACTTATTTACTATTGTGTTGGCGCTGCATAATCGAAAAAAATCGAGAAAATATTTATGCTTTGACCCGTGTGGTCTTGTTTTGCTGCAGCCTTCATTTTCAATAATTTATCACGATGCACATTACAATGTACAGTCACTGATATTTGTTCACATAATTTTTGTTGGCGCTGCATAATCGTAAATCTCTATGTTATGACACATGACTCACAATTCAAATTCTATAATTCCAAAATAGGTTAATGTAAGACACTGCATTAACAGCAAACATGATAACTATACAGCTATATACAGCTATGTATATTAATTTTCTAAAAAAAATTTCCCCACAAAAAATAAATGTTGCAGATATTTTATATGTCTCCTCAAACCTT